GCTCAAATTTGCTTGCAGACCTTGCTTATTAAATCACTTGAATAAGAAAAGCATCAAAAAAGCCTAGAAGCTACTTAAAAATGATATATGTAACATTGAACTTTAAATGTTGACTGGAGTAGATATTTTTAAAAAATTAATAAAAATTCAAAATGATTTGTTCTTCTATAGCAAATAAATACACCATATATCTGAAGTTAAAAATGTAACAAATAAGTAAATACAAAGAAAAACATCACATGTGAATTGAAAATCAATGTACCTGATAGAGATAAGCTGTTGTGATACCTGAGTAGTAGTTACTAAATATTGTTATTACATGATAAAGAAAATGTATTTATAGCAAAATGATGTCTTGAATGAATTTTAGTAAATAAATAAAAGCAGTGAGTTCTAGTAATGAAACTACCTATTAATCATTTTTAACAGCTGACACCAACATAAAGATAAGCCAAAGGCAACAACATTACGCGAAAAATTATGCAATGTGTTTTCAGAATAGTTATATTAAAGGCTAGGCAACACTTAGACCTAAAGCAGTAACATCGCTTGACTTGTAAGGTTGATAAATCTTGCTCTACACGTTTGCCAAAACAGGCCACTTTGAAATCATGGAAACAACATTTTATAAACATGTATACTAATTATAAAACACGATATATTTTTTTAATGTTGCTTAGCATATAAAAACACCCCATTTAACAATCATGCACAAATTAGATATAATACATTTCATACTATTATAAAAACACATTTATATGAACACATTTATAAAACAACTATATAACATATAATATATATTATATAGTTGTTTTATAAATGTAAATAAATTCTCTATATCTATATGTATTACCAGGGTGGCCACATAAAATTTTTATAAGAAAAAGAGGATATTAGAGGACTTTAGAGGAGATTTTGCATTTAATTTAGAGGATTTTTTTTGCAAAACTACAAAATTTTGAATAAAAATAGAGGATTTTAGAGGATTTTTTTTTCAAGGTTTAACGCCTGTTTCCACATAACTGGGGTTTGGATAGGGGTCAACAATGTCATTATTAGTTAGATGACATGGATTTGCTAAAATTGATTTTTTAGCAAATTCTCATTTCAGACTTTACGCATTTTGCAGACCATGAATTTTGAACATTATACTACCATCAAGAAATAAAAAATTATAAAAAAGAGGAGTTAAAGAGGAAATTTTATGATATTTTTAACTTTTTAGAGAGTAATAGAGGATTTTAGAGGTTTTTGAAAAAAGAGGAATTTAAAAGTTCAATAATAAATTTTACTAAAAAAACTATTTTACCAAACATTTTAGTTCTAAAAAAACTATTTTACCAAACATTTTAGTTCTAACTTTTTCTAAAAAATAAAAACAGGCTATAAAAATTAGAAAAAATAAAGATAAGCAACAACAAACTAACAATTATTTAAATTTTTATTTTAAAAAATAAACAACATCAATTCTTCTTGACAATAAATGTATCAGCTCCAATTTGCTTGCTGATTTTTACTCTAGACTCTAGACCCCTTGGAATATATAACTGCGCTTAGAAAAGTCTAGAAACAACTTAAAAACTTAGAAATAGTGTATTTTACATAATGCAGAACCGTAGTTAACAAAACAAACAATAGGCGTAACAATGCGTAACTATGCGCACTAATAATAATGATTATATTCATTGCCGTATTAATATATACATATATATATAAATAAATATATATATATATATATATATATATATATATACACATATATATAGTGGCCACAGTCCTGGAATGTCCTGGATTTTTGCAAGTGTCCTGGAATGTCCTGGAAAATTACATTTTTTTTCAAAAATGTCCTGAAATGTCCTGAAATTTTTTTTTTTTTTTGAATCAAGTTAAATAATTACTAATAATATTGAGCAATATTAAATTTTTTATGCGAAAAAAAATCTATATAAATGGTTTGAATTTAATTTTAAATAAGAGAGAATTATCTATGATTTATTATTTAATCAAAAGGTTTTCTTTATTTTTAATATATTGCCTAAATTAATTGGACTCTTTCTATGGACTAGGACTCATTCCGTGATTTTCTTCGAGATGGCCCCTGGGTAGAAATCTTTCGTCTTTCTGTTGACAAATGTGCTTCTTACATAACTTCGTGGATTCAGGCTGGCATGGAATCCTCTATTCCCTCTCGATGATTCCAGGTCAAGCCTCACTCTTCTCCATGGTTTTCCTCACATTGTGCTGCTGCAATTGCTAATCGAAACCATTACTTCCATATCTATCAGCAAAACAAATTACCAGAAAACAGACTTCTGTTTATTACTGCTAAGTACCTTTGTAAAAAGGTTTAGTCTAACACCAAAGCCTGCTATTCTCAGATTATGAAATCTCGTATTTCATCATTAAAATTAGGCTCTCGTGACTTCTGGAGAATCTTTAATAGTATCAATAATAAGGACAAGTCTGTAATTCCACCTCTTTTGTACGGTTCAGACTTTGTCACCTCACCTAAAGACAAAGCTGAATTGTTAGCCAAGAACTTTTCATCAATATCATTGATTCCACTAGTTGGGTTCCACCAGATATAGCCATCAAACAGGTTGATCCGTTGCTCGACATCCATATCACTCCAGCTTCTGTATTTAAAGTGATTTCCTGCTTAGACTCTTCTACAGCTCGCGGCCTGGACAACATACCTGTTATAGTCTTGCAGAAGTGTTCTGGACAACATACCTGTTATAGTCTTGCAAAACTATTCAACAAGTGCTTATCAGCACTTTTTCAGCCTGCTGTAAAGCAGCAACTGTTATTTCTATTTTTAAAAATTCAGGAAAGCGATCTGATTTGTCTAACTACCGTCCCATTAGTCTTCTTCCTATCATAAGCAAGGTTTTTTAATCTTTAATTAACAAACACTTAATCACTTATATTGAATCTCATAACCTACTTTCTGATCATCTATATGGATTTCGATCTTCTCGTTCTACGGCTGATTTGCTAACAGTAATAACCGATAGGTTTTATCGCGCATTATATAAAGGTTAAGGCCATTGCTCTTGACATTTCTAAGGGGTTTGATAAAGTTTGGCATGCTGGTCTTCTCCATAAGCTTTCTTCTTACGGTGTATCTGGAAACATCTTTAAGATTATCGAATCCTTCCTTTCCAATCGTAGTATAAAAGTTGTCCTTGATGGACAGCACTCTTATTCTTATTCTGTAACCTCAGGGGTTCCTCAAGGTTCAATCATTGGCCCTATACTCTTTTTAATTTACATTAACAATCTTCCAGATTTTCTCACATCTAAGGTGGCATTGTTTGCCTACTCACAGTGGCTGGTGAACTTTAATTCAGATAAAACTCAATTTTTTTCAGCCAATCGTTCTCGCAATAATTTAGACCTTCCTACATTTATGAACAGTAATGTACTCGATGAGTCTCCTACCCTTCATCTTCTAGGATTAACTCTTACTTCTGATCTTTCTTGGAAACCTTATATCAAATCCGTTGCAAAATTAGCATCTGCTAAAGTCGCTTCTCTTTATCAAGCTCGTCACTTTCTTACTCTGGATTCTATTCTCTATCTCTATAAATCTTAAATCCGGCCTTGTATGGAATACTGTTGCCATACCTCTGTCACATCGTCGTAATGTTGCTTCTCTTTCTCTTTTCTACAAATACTATAATGAGCACTGCTCTAAAGAGCTAGCGTCTCTTGTGCTATCTACAAAAATTCATTCTCGTGTTACTTGTCATTCAATTAAGTATCATCCTTTTTTCTGTTACTGTTCCTAAGTGCTCCAAAAACTCTTATTCATCTAGTTTTTTTTCTCGAACATCAGTTCTTTGGAATTTGCTTCCTTTATCTTGCTTTCCTGATTCATATAATTTGCAATCTTTTAAGTTGTCTGTCAATCGTTATCTTGCTCTACAATCTTCATCTTTTCTCTTCCAGTAACTTCCAACACTAATTAGTGGTTGCTTGCAGCCTTGTTGGAAGCGAAGATGTTAAAAAAAAATAATAATTTGAATTTGAATTTTATTTTTGTTTTGTTATATCTGAAATTGTGGAGTTTTAAGTCTTGCAAATCAATTTATAATATTTAATTTTTCTAAAGTTTTGAAATACTTTGAGTTTTTATCTAAATATGCAAATTTAATTTTAGAAAAAGTGTAAATAGTAAAAGTATAAATTGCAGAATGCCTTGAGATTCACATTTTTCATATACATGGTTGCAAGCACCTGAATATATAAATTGGATTATTAAAAAAAGTATGACAATTGCATCATGTTCTTTTTGTAAAAAAGACATTAATGTTAGAAATATGGGTGAAAATGCATTAAAAAGTAATCTTAAAAGTAAAAAACATAATAAGTTATTACCTACTGCATCAAGTTTATTATGCAATTATTTTTTAGAATCGATTATTTCATCACCTTTAAAAACTAGTACAATTTATGTTATTGAAAAGCCATCTACTTCTAAAACATTGGATATGGTATTTATAAATGAACAAGTAATAACTGCTGAAATTAGATAGGTATTACATGTCGCTTTATCAAAATCTTTTCAAAGATCATGTGAAGGACTAAATTCACTTTTTATATCAATGTTTTATGATAGTAACATTGCAAAGTTTCAGCTAGGTTGAACAAAGTGTGTATATATTACAAAGTTTGGCATTGCACTGTACTTTCTTGATTTGTTATATAAAGAAATATTGTTATTACCTGTTTTTGTAATATCGTTTAATGAGTCATTAAATCGTACTATGCAAAAAGGTCAAAGGGACATTGTTGCAGACGGCCCTAATGTCAATTTAAAGCTTTTAGGACTTGAAAATCATGAACTTAATGAGTATCCAGCCTTAATAGATATTGGCATGTGTGGCCTCCACACAATTCATGGAAGCCTAAAAACATCAATCAATAAATCTGAATGGAAGCTTGGTGAAAAATTGAAAGCAATGTGGATGTTTCTCAATAAATGTCTTTCGTGTAGAGAAATATATTAAAATGTATCTGATGATGAAGGTTTACCTTTTACCTTATTGTGGCCATCGTTGGTGTGAGAATCAAAACTGTTGTGAACAAGCAGCAAGTATTTTTCCTGGATATTTAAAGTTTATTGAACACTTACAAAGTTTACCAAAATCAAAGCAACCTCATGGAAAATGGTTTGATATTTTAAAAG